ATACGGCCATGGGGCTCATTAAGCAGGCCCGGGGGCTCTTACGCTCCTGGTCGGTGCGACCTTTGACGTAAGCAGGCATTTGAGCACTTATGCTTTTGTTCAATTATTTCGGGTAGAGTCTTCGAGTCGGGTTTCGACTCGAGCTCATATATCCCTCAAGCTTTTTATGTTTGCATGGGTCGGTGGCCTTTACGTTTTAACTCTCTTGGATCGAGTCTCCGAGTCGGGTTACGACTCGAGCTCAGTCGACCCTCAAGTTTTATGCTTGTATTTGGCGGGCGACAATGGCTCTTACGCTTCACCCTTAGGAGTGTGTGTGGCCCTGAGGCTCGTTAGGCTGGCGACAATGGCTCATACGCTTCGCCCTTAGGCGTATGTGTGGCCCTGAGGCTCGTTAGGCTGGCGACAATGGCTCTTACGAGCCCTTAGGCATATGTAGGCTTTATTTTCCTCTCGTTAAGGACTTTTGCAATGATTTTGCCTGACTTGTCGTCGGTTCGGGAAGAACCTCGATTTCCAGTCGTTAGTGGCGGTGTTCGAGCACCTTGTAAGGTTTGGCTCGTAGGCTGAGTAGCTCGAAGCCTTATGATTTGGAGCTGACATGGTCGAAGCTCTTTTGCCTGTTGAGGGTAGCCTGTTTAACCGGTTCTTTTCGAAGTAGATTCGAAGTAATGGCCTATGATTTTGTAGCGGCGGTCGGGCGTCCCCGAGTCACGTTAGTTTGGCTGGTGCAGTCATATGACCGTAGTCATTTATGTTTGGTCGGAGCCATTTTTTGGTCCCGAGTATGGTAGTTTAGGCGTCTATATCGAGGGTATGCCTTTTTAGGGGTCTTACAAATTCGATATATAGCCTGAACTTCGAGATCGATTTTATGCCTGTAGTATGGTCTTACAAAACCTTCATGCCTTTTGAGGTCTTACAGTTTGTGTTGTTGCTTTGTGCAAGTTTTACAAGACCGAGTCTGCCCGCTCGGGGTTTTATGACCTCGAGTTTTTTGCTGAATGGCGATTGGCGATAGTCTCCGAGTCATCGAGTTCGTTTTGTCTTGAGATCCGTTACTCGTGAGCTCGGGGTTGCCTCATTGAGGGCTTACGACTTAGGAGATTCCGACCCTGAGGTCGCGCGTATGCTGAGTTCTTTGGCGCCAATATCCGAGTATTCGGTACGCTTTCTTTTTGGAGATATTTCATGATTTTCGTGTTGCCTCGTTGAGGACTTACTAATTTGGAGTTCCGACCCTGAGGTCATGCGGGTGCCGAATTATCGACGCCAGTCTCTGAGTATTCGGGACATTTTCTGATGGAGGAATCGTTCTGGCGAAAACGCTGGGTTTTTCTTGGAGCATGAGTCATGTTGGCAAAAAGCATTCTTTTGATTATTTGACATTAGTACATGTGCCTCCACCATCGGGGGCTTGGTTGTGCGGACACAGTTCATTCGACCGCTTGGTCCGGTACATCATTTTCCCATTGGGACCTTGTTTGCCATGTCTTGGTTCTTATGAGAGGATGATCTTCCGAAAGGATGTCCTTTGGCGTTCGTGATTGATAGCAAAAAGAAGCCTTGAAGACTTGTTGGATTCCCCTTAGGCAGCATATAGGTGTTGCCTCGTTAAAAACCTTACCGGGGAAGGCTAATAAATTCCTTACTAATCACTTGTTTGAAATAGCTTTAGACAAGGTTGCTGGTGGCATGTTCTCTCTCGGCGCATGTTAAGCAGAGTTTGCTAACGTGCATGGGCAGCATGACAATTCCGGCCACCACCGCTATAACGCCATCGGCGAGCTCAGTCACACCAGTCACAACTGTACCAGCGCATGCAAAGCCACTAACATTTGGAAGCTTTCTTCCAATTCAGTTTCAAACTATCAGAGAAGACCCAGATGAAGATGTAGCTAATGTCCAACAGAACTTAGCTGTAAAACGAGCGGCGAGAAGAACAGGAGAAGAGATTCCACGCCGGCTCCAATTTTCTGACCTAGCTAAAACTACAACACATTCTTCATCCATGACTCAGGAACCTGTACCAGTGGAACAGGAACCAATTGAACAAGGAAAAAGAATAGGTGAGGAGAAGCCATACAAGAGGAATCGTAGCTCTCAAATAGGGAAAGCTCTCACATATATCCCACCAGATCTACAGGGTGATACAATTTTAGTAACAACTGAAGAGGAAGACATAAAGGAACAACAAAATTATTGGAATAATGCACTCATCGGGTACGTATTGGGTGAAAATCCATATTTCAAATCTATGGAGAACTATGTTGAAAATGTGGGATTTCGTTAATACTCCAAAGATATTATACCATGATGATGGCTATTACATATTTAGATTTGATTCACTTGAAGATAGAGACAAAGTTATGCAATTAGGGCCTTACACTTTTCATAACAAACCATTTATTTTGAAGAATTGGTCACTTGATTTTGTCTTTGATCCGGATTGTTTGAATATGATTCCACTGTGGGTAAGATTTCCAAATCTACCGGTGGGATTTTGGTCAGCTGAGGCCCTAAGCAAATTGGCAAGTGCAATAGGAAAGCCAATGTACACAGACTTATACACTGCTGAGATGGATAGAATTTCATTTGCTAGAGTCCTTGTAGAAGCAGACATTTCTCATCCTTTGCCAAATGATATTTTACTTCGAACTCCTGTAGGAGTGATTCATCGAAGCATAGAGTATGACTGGAAGCCTAAATTTTGTATGGACCGTGCAAAAGTTGGGCATACCACAGAAGACTGCAGACAGAACAAGCAAATAGGAACAAATGGAGCATTTGTAGAACAGAACAGGAGAAGGAGAAGGGGCAAAAGAAGAAGGAAAGTGGAAACTAAATGGGTAGCAAAAGAGGTGACTGTTCCAACAGCTGAAAAAGATGATGCTACAAAGGAGACTGAAACTAAAAAAAATGCAGTAGGCTCACAAATGGAAGATAGGCAGTTGGACAGGAATGAATTTCCAGCACTCTCAGAAGTAATAAGGAATGAGAGAAGATATGAAAAGAGAGTGGTTGTGTCTACTGTGGAAGAACCAAGTTGTTCTACTAGCCAAATTAATACCACAAATAGATTTGAGATTCTGAATCAAGGTGGTATTGCAGCTGATACTAGGCAGGGTGGACAAATCCACCCTACACCTCCATGATAATCAGTACGTGGAACATTAGAGGGCTGAACAAGCCCTTTAAACAGAAGGAGTTGGTGCTCTTTCTGAAGAAGTACAAGGTAGAGGTAATGGGGCTAGTTGAGACAAGGGTGAAAGAGAATAAGGCAAAAAGAATAGCCCAGAAGACTACAAAGGACTGGAAAGTACAGTATAACTATAATTGTGCATATAATGGGAGAATTTGGTTAATATGGAAGCCTCATATCCACATTCAGATTCTTATGGTTGATGCACAGTTTGTCCATTGTGAAGTGGAAGAACAAATCAGTAAGAAGAAATGGCTTTTCACTGTTGTATATGCTTATAATGACTTGAACTCAAGGCAGCAGTTATGGGAGAAGCTTATTGGTATAGGTTCTAATATTACAAGTGACTGGCTAATTAGTGGTGATTTTAATAATATCTTACAATCAGATGATAGAATAGGAGCTCCTATAACACTGGCAGAGGTACAAGGATTTAAGGAGTTCTTAGACAAAATACAACTCACTCCCTTGAAAAGCACAGGATGGTATTATACATGGTGTAATCAAAGGGATGAAAATGTGAGGGTGTACGAGATAGTTAGGCTTTTGGGAATTTCAGTTGGATGATGAACAATGGGCATATAGAGGCAGAATATTTGAACCCTGGGGTGTCTGATCATTCTCCTATATTGATGAACTGCCAAACTTGTATAATTCAACAATATTTGCATCCTAGACCTTTTAGACTGTATCACACTGTACTTCACCATCCTGAATTTACAAGGATAGTGAAAGAAGTATGGGTGCAGAATGATAGAGATTTTGGGAAGGCAAGGACATGGTATAAACGCAGGAAACTGAAGGAGGCATTGAAAGGCTAGAACAACTATATGGCATCTTATCAGTAAAAACTGAGTCAAGCAAAGCAGAAGTTAGAACTGGTTCAGCATCAACTGTCTCTACAACCTTTAAGGCAGGAGTGCATAGAAGAAGACAAGGTAGCCTTGCTAGAAGTGGAGAAATGGAGTAACATTGAGGAGCAGGTGATGAGGCAGAAGTCTAGAGCTACTTGGATTCAACATGGAGATGCAAATACCAAGTACTTCCATGCTCAATGGAAGATGCATACTAACAATAATGCTATTGTCTCTATTCATAATGATTCAGGTATCAAATTAACAGATCCTAAACAGGTGGAGGAGCAATTTTTGGATTTCTTTAAGAAACTAATGGGTGAGGCATCACCAGTGCACCCTTGCCCAGATGCTGAGGTGATTGAAAAGGGACCTTGTCTAACAAGGCAACAACAACTGGAACTGATCAAGTCAGTCACCGAGGAAGAGATATTGGGAGCTATTAAAAGCATGCCAACTAACAAGGCTCCAAGGGTAGATGGTTTTCCAGTAGAATTCTACACAAATCAATGGGAGGTGATCAAAGCAGATGTGATTGCTGATGTCTTGGATTTCTTTAAGACAGGGAAGCTGCCAAAGGCCATTAATAGCGCTGCTATTACTCTCATCCCTAAAGTTCCTAATCCTACACAGGTTAAGGACTTTAGGCCAATAGCATGCTGCACAACTATTTACAAGATTATCACAAAGATCATCACTAGGAGATTAAAAGCAGTAATGAACTATCTAGTAGGCGACTCTCAATCAGCTTTCATTGAAGGCAGGAATATAACTGATAACATCCTATTCACCCATGAACTGTTCAAAGGCTACACTAGGAAAGGTATATCTGCAAGATGCAGTCTCAAGGTTGATCTTAGGAAAGCCTATGATACATTGGATTGGTTCTACTTGAAGAGGATAATGATTGGATTGGGATTTCACACAGATTTGTATGTTGGATAATGGAGTGCATAACAACTGTATCCTACTCTTTGACCTTAAATGGAGGACTCACAAAACCATTTAAAGGCAAGAGGGGGATAAGACAGGGTGACCCTGTGTCACCCTACTTATTTGTGATAGCTATGGAGTACTTGAAAAGGGAATTTAGTCAACTGGCTTTAAACAAAGAGTTCCACTTTCATCCAAGGTGCAAAAGACTAGGAGTGGTGCATGTGTGTTTTGCTGATGATCTATTGATGTTCTGCAGAGTTGATTTGCAGTCAATTAAGCTACTGCAGGATGTATTTTTGAAATTTTCAAGAGCCTCAGGACTACAGGAAAATCCTGACAAAAGCTCAGTATACATTGCAGGTACAACTGAGAGGATGAAAGAACTTATCTTGCAGGAGTTGGGTTATAATGAAGGCATCTTACCCTTTAAATACTTAGGGGTTCCATTAGCTCCTAAAAAGCTATCTAATCAACAGTGTTGGCCATTGGTTGAAAAGATTACTGCAAGGATCAGTTGCTGGACCTCAAAACTATTGTCATATGCTGGAAGATTGCAGCTCATCAAGTCAGTGATTTTTGGGATGCAGTCTTATTGGGCTCAGGTATTTTTACTACCAAAGAAGATCAGCAAAATGATAGAGGCAATATGCAGAACCTTCATATGGACATGGCAGGATGATATATCCAGAAGTGCTTTGGTAGTATGGGACATGGTCTGTTTACCACAAACAATGGGAGGGTTGAATGTGATTAACCTGTGCAACTGCAATAAAGCTGCAATAATAAAGCACTTGTGGGCAATTACAAAGAAGAAAGACTGCTTGTGGATTCGATGGTTCTATTCCTACTACATAAAGAACAGAAGCATTGACACCATGCCTATACCTAAGAGTGCAGCTTGGGTAGTAAGAAAGATTATTGAGCAAAGGAAGTTTATATTAAATCTACCAACTCTACAAGGCAATGTGCAAGAAAGATTGGACTCCTTACAGAGCACAAGTGGTAAATTCAGTATCAAGAAGCTATATAACTTTCAAACTCCTCAGGGTCAGAAGGTATACTGGAAAAGTATGATTTTACATCCTCATACACATCCTAGACACAAATTCAATATGTGGCTGGCCATTCAAAGGAGACTACCAACAGTGGATCGACTGCAGAAAATAGGCATTCAAGTAGCTCAAGTGTGTGTATTCTGTGGTCAGGAAGAAGAGATATTTGAACATCTATTCTTTGAATGCTCCTACACAAGTGATGTCTGGAAGAGATTGCTAAACTGGATGGGAATCCAAAGACAGATTCAAACTTGGGAGGAGGAACTGCAATGGGTGACTTATCATGCTAGGAAGAAGAAAGGAATTGGCAACATTATTGTAGCAGTGTTTGGCATGCTGCTGCACAGTTTATGGAGGGACAGGAATTCGATCAGATTGCAAAATGGAAGCACCTCAGCAGAGCAGATATGCCGAGAGATCACTTCATATGTTCATATCAAAAGCCATATACATAGCAATTGGCAGGAACATATGGAAGCTCTAAACAGATATCCATAGTTAGGCTACTAGAGTAATCCTGTATTCATGTTTTATTTCGGTATCATATTAGTGAGCACATGTATAGGATATGAACACATATAGCTGACTAGTATAGTTATATAGGGAGACATCTCTGAAATGTTGGAGTCAAGTATAGTCTAAGAAGAGAAAAGGAACTGGTCAGCAGGTCCTACTATGTACAGAACAATATTGATAAATGAAAATGTTAGTTTATCGAGAAAAAAAAACCTTGCCGGCAAAACCCTCTTCGGGGACAAAAGCTCGGTCGAAGGAAAAGAGTGCAACGGATGCTTTTGAAACCTTAAGGGGTCTTCGGGCCGGGTATGCGCTTATGACCGCTTTGTTCGAGTGCCTGTACAAAGGATTAGTATAAAATATAAACTGAAAAGGGAGATGGTTATACCTTATCGTGGGATGCGTTTGGCGACGTTCCGAGGTCTGACACGCCTCTGTTGTTTGTGGTGAGGACTCGGTACGGTCCTCCACTGTGTGCAATCGGGCTTAGCCGAAGATGCAGTTTGATTATCATTAGGCTCTCTCGAGAGTGGAGATATTGGCGCTGGTGTCACGTCGTGCACCGCGAACATTTCCCTTGCCGCGTGCTGTTCCCCGTGGACGGTTCTAATCCCGTCTTTTGTCAAGAATTTCATCATTTGGTGGAGGGTGGACGGTACCGCTCTCATGCAGTGTATCCACGGTCGTCCGAACAGGGTGTTGTACCTCATGTCTCCTTCGATGACATGGAATTTGACGTTTTGGGTCGTGCCGGCCACGCTGACCGGGAGAGTGATCTCTCCTTTTGTTGTCTCACTTGCCATGTTGAATCCGTTGAGGACTCGAGGGGCAGGCACGATTTGGTCTAGCAGTCCGAGCTGCTCTATTACGTTCGACCTGATAATGTTGGCCGAGCTACCTGGATCCGCGAGTACACGTTTTATTTGAAGCGTATTTACGAGGAAAGAGATTACCAGTGCGTCGTTATGAGGTTGGGACAGGGTCTCAGCGTCCTCCTCGCTGAATGTGAGGGCATCTTCGGGTACGTATCCCCGGGTTCGCTTTTCTTTGGTGATGGATATTTTCGTCCTTCTCATCACGGGTTCATGAGGAGCATCGACGCCCCCTAATATCATGTGGATAACATGTCGTGGCTCGTTTGCTTCATTCTTCTTGGTCGCCTCTCTTTCTCGGAACTGGTTTTTGGCTCGGTCACTCAAGAATTCTCTGAGATGGCCTCTGCTGAGTAACCTGGCCACCTCCTCTCGTGGCTAGTGACAATCCTCGGTCCTGTGGCTATGCGTGTTGTTGAATTCGCATACCAGGTTATGATTCCTTTGGGAAGGATCCGATTGTACAGGCCTGGGCCATCTGGTCTCCTTGATTTTGCCGATGGCGAACACGATGTCTAAAACATCAACGTTGAAGTTGTATTCTGATAGGCGTGGTGCCCCTGTTGGCCCCATGCTTCCGTCGAATTCGGCTCTGTTAATGAACCCTCGGGGATTCTGCCCTCGGTTGATCGGTTGGTCGTTGCGAGGCGGGTTGCGTCTCGGGGCATTTCTCTTGTCTTCGGTATATGGCTAATACCTTTCTTTATTTGGCTTCGACTCCTTTCCAAAGAGCATGTTCAGGTATACTGAGCCTGAAGGGGCTCCCAATTGATCATCCTCGACCCTGATCTTTGACTGGTATCGGTTGTGGACATCCGACCAGGTTACGGCAGGATGCTCGATCAGATTTTATTTCAGCTGCCGCGTGGCCACTGAAATCCGCTCGTTTAGGCCTTGAGTGAAGGACTGTACCTCCCAGTCGTCGGAGACCGGGGGTAGTTCCATTCATTCCGTTTGAAAGCGCGACACGAACTCTCGCAGCATTTCGTTCTCCCTTTTGCCTGATCTTTAATACGTCAGATTTCCTCGTTGCTACATTAATGGCACCGGCGTGTGCCTTTATGAAGGAGTCCGCCAGCACGACGAATGAGTCTATGGAGTTGGGAGCTAGATTATGGTACCACATCAAGGCCCCTTTCGAGAGCGTTTCCCCGAACTTCTTCAGTAAGACGGACTCGATCTCATCGTCTTTTATGTCGGTGCCCTTTACTGCGCACGTGTAGGCGGTAACGTGCTCGTTCGGGTCTGAGGTCCCATTGTATTTCGGGAGTTCTGGCATTCTGAACTTTTTTGGGATGGGTTTCGGAGCAGCTTCCTCCAGGAACGGCCGCTGCACGAACTTCCTCGAATCTACGCCTTTCAGGACCGGGGGCGCGCACGGGATTTGGTCGACCCTGGAGTTATAAGTTTCGACCTTCTTGTCGTTGGCAGCTATCATCTTCTCGCCCGACTCGATCCTTCTGGTAAGATCCTCGAGCATTTTTACGATAGCAGGGTCGGCTATCGAACCATTATTGATCAGTCTCTCTGGTACCCGTTCGGCTGGGGGAGTTGTCCCTGGTGCTACGGTGCTGGGAGTTTTCGGGTGGCTTTACAGCTGAGCGATAGCCAGCTGTTGTGCCTGCAACATTTCAAAAATAACATGAAGGCTAACTTCCTGTTCTTCCCGAGCTGGGGTTTTTCGGGCTTCCTGTTGGTCGTCTTGCTGCACGCTTCTGTCGGCGTGTGAGGTTTCGTCGACCTGCTATGCGTCTTGCGAACCCGCGTCTGCTAGAATCGGTCCAGGTGCATTATCGGGGTTCAGTGGTGGCGCGCCGATGATTGGAACAGCTACACCATTCTCTCCGTGGTTTTCAAGGTTGTTGTTCTCAACTCTTTTTACTGAGCCAGATATTTTGACCTGAAATCGACGATCTTTGACAAGAAGAAGTGTGAAAGATAACTTGTGTTGTGTGACGAAACTAGCAAGAAAATAATCACTATTATTTTTAGCCCCATGGTGGGCGCCAAACTGTTTACCGTGAAAATGGTAATGACAATTAAATTTATTGATGGGACTCTAAAAATACGCGATCTATTTTTATGCTAGTTATGGAGCAGTTGATGCTAAGTGAGTAAACTTTAGGGGTGAGATGCGAGCTAAAATAAAGCAGTAATCGAACTGGGAGATAGCCTTTCGGGGCCTCTAGCTGGTCGATTTGGGGCCTCGAGGTCGGGTCCCGAGCTCGGGCTCGAGCTATCAGGGAGAATCGAGGAAGGGCTAACAGATACAATATTATTAAAGGAGGCTCTTTATGGCCAATGATGAGCAATAAATAAGCAATAAATGTAGAGCAAATATGAAGATAATAAAATGGAGCAACAGTATCAAGAGAGTGTGTTAGAGAGAAAAGAGAGAGAGTTTATCATATATTTCATGTCGAGTCTTTGGAGCAACATCAGTCCCGTATAAAACAGTAAAATCCCCTTTGTATAAAAGGGGGAAAACTTATGCGGTAAGGCATACATTAGCTGTAAAGGTATGGAGATGGGACGACTGGAAATGACGCCCCGAGTAGGGCTCAGAGTAGCCTGGCTAGACTTTGTCAGACTCAACCGTGACATGCTTAGCCGCGTCTTGGGAACTCCCAATTTTACTCTAGCCCCGACCGCAATCCTCTTAAGGCCGGGCGTCGACGGGCTCCGAGGGGGAAGACTCGAGCGCATCTTCGCAGCCTCGAGGCTTCGAGGCGATCTTCCAAAATGCCTTGATGTCGGGAAATTGGACCCTCCGATTTTGCCGCATACAATAGCCCTTCTGTATTTCTTTTGATTTAGACATTCCGGAGTTAGAACACTATGTAGTATCCATAACTTGTGATTCGTGAGTTTTCGGGTTTTGGGAGTTATTGAGTTTTTGAGATTTTGTATTGGTTTATGCTGAGCGGCATCTTAAACGCTTCTATATTGTTTATCTTCAGTTTTATTAGTTTTTTCGCATTTTGTTTCCTTTCCGCAAATTGTTAGGCTTACCTAGTCGTAGAGACTAGGTGCCGTCACGACATGTTCACGGAGGGCGAACTTGGGTCGTGACATTCTTTATTATTTTCACTAGTTTACTTCCACTTTTTGATTATCCCTCAAATCTTATATGAAGACTGAATTGATTATTGATGGAAGGGAACCAGCTAATTGAATTATTCCACGTAAAATTGTCGCGTGAACTCTACCCTTCACTATTTAAGATGAATACTGCTTTATCTCTTCTTCAATCAGCTTTCCCTATTTACGAGCTCTACTTCCCCCCTAAATTATGTAAATTATGTTTTCTCAAAGATAATACTAAGTTTTTAATTTAGACATATATTACATTTGTAATTGTAATCTAGTGTGGTGGCAATTGATGCTCGTGGTGTTTGGCTTTCTAATTAATCAATTGGGAAGCCAATCAATTTTGTTCAATGACTATTAAAGAGGCGTTGCAAATTGTGACTCGCAAAGGATGAGGAGAAATTATATTTATCAGATGTATAGGAGTTGGATGTAATAGATGAGCACGGTTCCGATCTGTCATGCAATAAATGAGCCCGGTTTCGACCGTATACACAAACACAAGATTATGGAATCAAGCTATTAAAAGAACAAGAAACAAACAAGATAAAATAGGACAGGCTGTGAATTGTAATGAAGCTAATATATTAGAGGGACAAATATGGAGACAGCTACAACATAATAATATTGAACCCCAGTGCATTGCTGTTGGACTTGTTGTTGTGGATGAATGGTTTATGTTTATTTTTCAGAAACTGATAGTTCATGCTCATTGCCCCATCAATTGGGGCCTTGCAAACTAATTATTAGAAAGACTTTAATGCAAATTCATTTGGGATTTCTTGGCCATGTTCTTTGTTGGTCCCTGGAAAAATTGATATGAACACAATCAATGATGGGGTCATCTATCATCCACTTCTTAAATTAAAATTACCAACAAAGAAGAAGAAAAATAAAAGGACGATGGGGTCATCTGTGAAACTGTACATGTAGAGTCTAATAATGCGCTTTCATTTGAATTCGAATTTAGTGTTCTTTTAATTAGCTTCATCTTCCCCAATCCATTATGTTAAGTAGGGC